TGGGTCATTTTTTCCTGTTTGACAGCATTTCACCATCCATCACACCCAACCTTGTTCAAGGTAAGCAGCACCATAGGTACCACTTCATTATTCTGATATTTGTAATAATCCAATGAGGCAATACTTTAAAATTCAACCCTTCTTATGCTATTTTTTGTTTAGCTTCGGGTATATATTAAAATAAAAATACTTAAACAGTGTGTTGGTTGGAGTTAGAGGTCATGCTCTGTATATTGATTGGTCTGGGTCATGTTTACCTTTGCCACATATAAGCATTAGCATTATGGGATAGGATAAAATACCAGTATGGAAATATATTGTATTGGTTTCTGTATCAATACTTTATTGATCGACTGCTTGCCCTAATGTAAAGTGAAAGGAAGCACACTATCTTGGTAAAGAAAAGGAGCATAAAATATTATCAAGATTATGAAGATTTTTCAGTACTTTTTATATTTGAGGACAAACATCCATCCCTTTTTCTGCCTCTTATCCGGGTTCGGGTCGCGGGAGTAGCAGCCTGAGCAGAGAACTCCTCACTGCATCGCTAAGAGAGGCCAGCCACCCTCTGCTCTGCTGCCTGGTCTTTACTCTGGATAATCACATTTTGTCGGGGGGTAAAATCCAATTTCAGTTACACCCTCAAGTCTTTTTGAGTATGATGCTACAAGCTTGACATCCCTTTTTTGGGCAGTTTCTCCTGTTCTCCTTTATGGATCCTCTTAAGCACTTTAATTTTGGATGGGGAGCACACAGCTATTTTTGTATCTCTTCAGAGATGTTCAATCAGGTTCAAGTCTGGGCTCTGGCTCGCCCACTCGAGGATATTCACAGAGTGGTCCTGAGGGCACTCCTTTGTTATCTCGGCTGTGTGCTTAGGGCAGAAATGGTTTCAGCATCGTTCCGCAGATCTGTGTCCTGAAACATTCCTGTACTGGAGGTCTACATAGAGTCTACATACAGTCTACATGGGTCTATATAGAAAGATGCCTTTCCGAATCATGTCCAACCAACTGGATTTGTCACAGGCGAAAAATCTGACAGGTGATCACTAGAGGTGGGAATCACCATACATCCCACGATACGATATTATCACGATACTTAACGCACGATACGATATTATTGCAATTTTTTAAAATATTTTGCGATATTCAGATTCTGTACATAAAGGTAAACTTTATCAATATTCATTTTCTCTAATATCAAAGTCTCACACTCAGTCTTTCTCTCATTTCAGTTTGATTGTTGACAAACTGAACGGTTTGTATTACAGTCTAGTCCAACTTAACTGAATCAACCATCTGGTACAATTATAGCTATTCTGAACTATGCAGTTTATGAAAACTATGCAGCCCCTTCAGCAACTGAAGAATTTGAAAGTAAATTAAAACAAAATATAATTTTACATTAAATAAAAAAGTTTTAAACTTAATTAAAATAAAACATGTCTTACATTAAAATAAGTAAACTGTCATGTTTATTGCTGCCAAAAACAAGTTAAACACATTTGGACAGTGAAGGAATGTCAGGATTCTTGCTCAGAAAAAGGATCAACATGCTCTGAAGTCAGAGCACAAAAACCTTTTTGTAACAAAATATCGATTTCTGCTGTCCCTGTATCCATACATTATTAGCAAACAAATTATCACCATACTACACAGTATCCATTTTTCCCCCACCCCTAGTGATCAGTGGAGACAGGATGGACCTGAGCTCAATTTTGAGTGTCATGGCAAAGGCTGGAAACACTTATGTACGTGTTATATTTTTGTTTTTATTTTTAATACATTTGCAACAATTTTAAGCAATTAGAAAAAAAACTTATGGAGTTTTGTGTGAAATTAATTGATTCTATTTGGAATGAGGAGTAACAAAATGTAACCAGTGGGTTTATGTGTTTCTCTGTGATGTTACCAGCAGAATGATGGAGGGATTATCAAAAATCAAAAATTCTAAAATTCACAGATCTGGTTCATTTTCTCACTGCACAAATTATATATAAAGCAATAAATAACCTGCTTCCTGACAATATTCTAAAAATGTTTTCTAAAAGGGAACGGGGATACAATTTGAGGGGGGAATTAAATTTAAAACATCCTCGTATCCGTACAACATTAAAAAGTTTTTGCATATTTGTGTGTGGAGTGAAGCTGTGGAACAGACTAAGTAAAGATATAAAGCAAAGTCCGAGCATGGCGCAGTTTAAAAAGCGGTTTAAGGAGATGGTTTTTACAGGGTACAGGGAAGAGGCAGAGATTTGATCGGGTGTTCTTGTCTAATATTTTCATGTGTGTGCGCGTGCACCAGTATGTTGGTGTGGGTATATATATATATCTGTAGGTTGTGTATCCTTTGAGGTGTTAATGGGGTTATTGAAAATGTGTATATGTGCGTATGTGTATATACGTATGTATGGATAGATAGAAACATATATGTATATATATTTTAAAAAAATGAATAATAATAAAAAAAAAATACACATGACATATAATGTAACTGCAAGGAGGTATTTCTGTAGTCTATTGATTACTAGATAGTGGAAAAGGGGCGGGATTAAATAAGCTCATGCTTCTTCCTGCTCCTTTTTGAACATGAAAGTTATTTGTAGTTGTGGTTGCTCGTTTTCCTTTTGTTTTGTTTGTTTGTCTGTTTTTAATTCTATGTTGTTGTACTTTTTCAACATGTTCAAAATAAAGATTCAATCAATCAATCAATCAATTAAAAAGCACAGAAGGGAATAAACTGGGTGACAGACCCATGTAGCACGAGAGTCACTTCTACTGAACAGGTGTCTGTGCTCTCCATGTTACAAAAGAAAACAGCACGAGGGAAGAAAACCGAGTTGCCTTGTCTTTTAATCACTGGTAGCTTTGTTGTTTCATCCATTTTTAAGTTTGTATGTTTTTCTTGTTATTCCACCAATTTGTTCCATCTCGGATGTGAGTGATGCAGCTGTGGGCGTTAAACTAATGTCATCACTGTCCGTTCATTATTCACTGTTTCGGTGTAGTCACAGCTGTCTGCGACGATGTCCACATAGCAGACACCTGTAAAAAACACAAACGTGCTCGTCTGACTTCTCAGCATCTTCTCATGGCACGGCTCATATCACACTAATGGGAACGCTCCAGCAGTTCTCCACAAACGAACATTCAATTGTCATTCTTTTACATGACAGGGTGGCTGGGAGAAATTGGTTTGCAACACCTCCGTCACTCATTTATCCATTCATCATCACCGTGATTTTCCCGGGCTGTCAGTGTGTGCGCCTCTGAAAAGGCCTGATGTCATGAGGAAAGGGTCTGCTGTTGGATTTTATGTCACTATCATCCCACAGCTGCCATCAACAATGCTCCCAGAAAACATTAATTGTGCAAAACACCCAGAGGATGTCGACTCCTGGATGGAGACGTTCATCCTCTCAGGCTGCTGAGAATTTAGACTGACAGGAAAACTCGTGGTAATCATTGTGCTGGATATTCTTTTTTTTTTTGCATTGATTTGTACCGTTGCACAACAAAGGTGAGAAATTACACTGAATTACTGTTAGTGTAATTTATGGGCACTGAAATCCTGCAATTTTTGCATTTTTAGGGAATAATTGACAGTTTCCTTCATGGTTGTAGTGACAGACACACAACCCTACAATGAGTTGTTGCGTTTCCTCAATGGCGTTCTCAGCACTGCAAGCTTGCTCTACTATTTAATTTTGCACAGTACAGGAGATTTCTGCATTTCTGCTCTTTTCTTTTGATATGTATTCATCTGTCTTTGCTGTGCTGTACAGAAAATTACAGTGGATCGCCCCAAACACAACTTTAGCTACCTTGTGAAGTGGTTGTTATATCGTTCTCATCTTAAGAAATGTTAGTATTTACTCCTCGTGGTGCTTTTCTTGTTTCTTTTTGTTTTGAATCTGACTTCGAGTTCTGGCATGTGTCAGTTTTTCAGCACGTATCACAAATATTTATCGTAATTACACTTTACACTCGTTCGAACACACTTCTTAAGTAATCATATGTTGAACAGTTGCTGTCTGTTTTCATGCAAAGCATTTTTGTTTAGACGGAAGAGTGAATGGTAGATGTTCACTTTCATACATAAATACATAAAGATTAAGTTGTTTGGGGTTTTTAGAGCAAATACAAAGCATGGTTGCTCATGCAAAATCAGCCACTGGAGTGTCTTTGAAGTTTTTCATGAATCTCTTTGTTAAAGTTGAGTTGAATGATACAAATCCAACTGCATCCTTATGTAGACTGTTTATGTAATCATATGTGAAAACGCTGAGCACACAGTAACACAGTAACCTTTCTTTATGTGTCTGTCTTCTCCTTCTCATGCTTACACTCAAAAGACACCAGTATATCTTACCTATTATATCCAATATTGGGGTTTGAGAAAGCATTTTTTTTTATTGATTTATAGATGTTACTGTTGGGCTTTATGGGCTTCCTTACAGGAATCCCTGCTGCTCGTTGAATAGGAGGGTTATCTTTCCTGTACCCCAGAAAACCTGTTCTTATTCTGCTCAATATGCTACTTACCGTTCATTTGAACATGTTTCTCTGCCATTGCTATAACAAGCCAGCCCAGCTGAGACGAGCCGATTTTATCCCCAATTCAATCTCCAAAGACTCAGAACAAGCAGAGCAAAAATCATTACGAGGCTGGTTTTGTGTAACCCTGTACGTGGTGGAGGGAAACTCTCAGAACTACTCCATTATTCTCCTTAAATATTAAAATTCACTTTGTGTGTCACAGGCTATTGCTTCTGTAAGTTACACAGTTACAGTGACTGTAGATTATATACACTTGTCAGTTATGTTAAAAAATGTTAATCTTGGTGGTGTTCAATAACTGTTGGTCTCAAAATATCCTTTGAAATCCAGTGCAGAAGAGATAAAAAGCAGCATAGACGTGTTAAAAGTCATCAAAACATGAAGTATAAACGGTGAACTCGTGTTCCTCACTGTTTTCGTTTCCTTCCCCGAGGACAGAAGGAGGACCCGAGGGAGGAGGAGGACGATGGGTACCGATGGAGTTTCTCCCCAAGCTCTGCTGTGGCTCAGCCTGAGCGGTTTGAGCTCCCTGGTGTCACCACTAAACCCCGATGATCCCAATGTGTGCAGCCACTGGGAGAGGTACGTTCCCCCAGTTGAGTCTCTTCAATATACAAAATGATATTTAACAAAAGAAATACTGCAGTGAACTAATGGACTGCTGCCACAAATCAACGCTGAGGGTTTGCCAATAATCAAATGCAAAAGGGAAAAGGTTTACTCGTGGGGACATATCGAGGCTGTAAATTCAGAGAGATGGTAATGTGACTGCTTGAGTGGTCCCAGCACTCAGCAGTATGTTGGGTGAAAGCACAATGCCGTTTCTGATGAGAGCTACGGAAAGTGCAGGTGCTGTGATCGATAATGTCTCTGTGTAATCAGTAGGAATTGTGCAAATGGATATTACTGCTGATGATTATTACAGCTTTGACTTCTCGCTAAAGGTTAGACTCAGTTCAGTAACCTTTGTTCAACACAATGAAAACACAGTGAGCTCGCTGCCAGCCACGCAGGGTAAGGAAGATGAGTTGATAACAACCTGAGCGGTTGTGAACTTTAAGGAAAGTAAATGTTTTTTCCCCAGATGACTCAATGGCTATTAAAAATTTTCATATTTAAAAATTAGATTTATTCTAACTGTTGTATTTATAATGAGATCATTGCTTTTGGATATTATTGACTAGTTGAGGAAAGAAAACGTTGGACTTACATTTATGTTATATTTGATGTTTGCAGTTAATACAAAAACGTATTTTAATATATTACATTTAATATTCGTGTATTCGATAATGACAAAAGTTTATCCAGAATTAGAAATTCATCCTGTCAAGCTGTTTTTTCCTGTTCCTCCAGTTATGCAGTGACGGTGCAGGAGTCTTACGCCCATCCGTTTGACCAGGTTTACTACACCCGATGCACCGACATCCTCAACTGGTTCAAATGCACGAGACACAGGTATGCAC